CACTCGAACAATAGCCTGGAGTGTGATGTCATTCACTTGATGGTTTTCTCAGACTATGGCCAATCCATCTCCATTTCTTCTTGCATATTTGTTTCACAATCGCTTCCTGATGGGTTGGTTCGTTCATTGCCAGAAATCCCTGTTGCTAATCATTTCTGGCCGGCCATCTGATCTTCAGTGAAGACTACTGTTGATGAAGGTCTGTAGTTTGTTTGAAATGGCCTTCGTGATGCGACGCCAAGTCTCTTATCCGTATAATAGGTAGCACTGACTTCACATTGGAGTTGAAAATAGGGCTCTTATTTTTCATGCTGAGTGCTGTTGATCTCCTCACAGACTTACTTGAGAGTCATGAAAGCTTGCCTCGCTTTGATATCCTCATCACCTACCTCTCTTTTCTCTATCTAGGCTTAGCATATGAACGCAACCATACACCCAACTGACCAGTCTCAAAACAAAACGAAACGCGTACATTATGAATTCTAAATCCTACTCATAAATAAACTCAACTAAGTAATATCATGTTCATCCTAAGGCATTGTGTCGGAGCATATCGTCCCAATAATAAAATATTTTTTGATTTGACACTAGTAACTAGTGCGACGTGTCTAGTCCTTTCTTTGGTGCAGACTGAATTCTATCATTCAGTCAGGTTTGCAATGTGGCCACCATTCTAGGTAGCTCGCCATCACGGTGCACATTGATTTGGTGATATTAGATAGTTGGAGGCAATCGGTCAAAGGAAGCCTTGCTCGACCTAGGTTTCGTGCTAGTTGGCACTCACCAGTCAGCACGGCGTATCTGCAACCTTGAAGGAAGTCATGTCACTTCTGAGAATCGGACCCGCGTCACCCACTGCTACCTGTAGTCAGAGACGTTACCACTGAGCTATTCAGGCTCGCGATTGACCTCCTGTAGGACTGTAGCACTGGGTGACACGGGTTCGAATCTCAGAAGGGGCATGAGTTCCTTCAAGGTGACTGCAGATACGCCTTGCTGACGAGTCCTAACTAGAACGAAACCTGGGTCGAAGGCCTCCTGCCGACTGCCTCCAACTATCTAATACCAAATATCAACGAATATCAAGGAAAATGATGACTTTAAACAACAAATTGAAGACTTTATCTAACAGTCCCCGCCGTGCCCCGCCAATTGTGGCTTATATAACTTTCAATTGTTACTGAACTAGGCAGAATTCAACACATGTATAATAAATAACTGAACTGTTAAGAATTCTGTATAGATTGATAAGATTCTGTTATTTGTGCACAAATACGTGTGCATTTTATTAGAATGAAACGCTCTATCACCAAACCTTCTTTCAGTGTGTGTGTGTGTGGGTGGGTTGGTGCGTGTGTTCACATTTTTCACTCAAATTGCTCGTTGCGCTCCTGTCAATAAATACCACTACTAGTACTACTACTATCTAATACTTTGTGCTCATCACTAACCGATCGATCAATCAATCAGTTGTGCAGTTATAGGTAGATAAAATAAGAGACAATATGAAGGGGGGATAGGGTGGGTAGCAAGCACACATGGGGGGGGGGGAGCGATAGAGAGAGTAAAAAAATGCCAAACATTATTATCGCTCTCCTCTTGACGTCATCATTAACGATGACGCAGAGTAGATAGAGTAGAGTAGAAGACGAAGAATGTGTTGCTATTCTAAAATTGATAGCATACTTGGGGTTTGGCTTCTTTTTTCTCTTCTGCCTCTTCTTCATCCTTCTTGTCGCGTACAGTTAAGACTCACTTGGATTGACGCAAGTAAACGATTAGATTGTCATATGATTACAGTTATATTCGTTTGTTGTTGTATATATATGCTATACACGTCTCATGTGATAACTTACTTTGTAATGTGCCTTGAAGAAGACAAGAGATAGAAAGTCTGTGTGTGTGCCTTCAATTTATCAGAAAGCTGACAATTTATAACCGAATATAATATAGTAGTGTTAGTTGCATTCACAACACACTAAAATTCGAGTCAATCTATTTGTAAGTAAAAAAACTTATGCGATTATTGAGTTTAACAGACAGGGAGGGGGTAGTATTGTAGTAGTATTATTAATATTATTATTCCCTCGGGTTCTCAATAGGCATCAACAGGACATCTCCACTTCATCTTGTTCTGTCTGCACGGTCCTCTTCACCTGCCTGTCTGTCTGTCCGTCTTCGACATAGGACTTTGCCCATATGTGCGGCAGTTCAAGTCGCCACACTCCATGTGGCACACAAAGCAAGAGAAGAAAGTAGAACAAATGCATAATAGAGACAGTAAACAGAGGTGTGAGACAAAGGAATAGTAATAACGGAGAACAAAACAGTTTCATTGGAAATCATAAGTCACAACGATTTTGAACCATATTACCAATTGTTTCCAACCATTGGTTTTTACCGTCACGAGGACCCCAACCAGGAAGTCTACACCTTCCTACGTGGCTTAGACTAACTGTTGTGGATTTGATTGACTGATGAGGCCATGTTTTGGTTTGACCACCGCTAGCTCTTTTCCAGCCTGACCCTATATCAGCTAACATTGGCCGTCGAGGAAGGCGATGATTAGGCATACGTAACACATGTCCTCTTCATCTGATCCCACGATTTCCCACAAATTCTCATTTCCTCCTCACATGGTCTCCTATGTGTTTTCACCTTTCGAAGCTACACTCGTCGCTGCTCATTTGGGTTCCACTCGAGTAACCGCCTGGTGTTCAGTGGCACCTGACAGTCTCCTCAGGTTGTGTCCAATCCATCTCCATTTCTTCCTGCCTACTTGTTGGAGAGATAGGTTCTTGGTTGATTCGTTGTTAATTCTTTCTGACTGGTCATTTGTTCTTCATTATGGGATTTTGCTCCTCAGCATGTTACATAGTGCGAGGAAAAAACTATATTATTGTACTATTATTAATGTTATTATTCCCTCGGGTTCTGAGTCGACTCCAGCAGGACATCTCCACTTCATCTTGTTCTGTCTGCACTATCCTCTTCACCTAATCCCACGATTTCCTCCTTACATCGTTTCCTCTGTGTCACCTTTCGAAGCTACACTCGTCGCTGCTCATTTGGGTTCCACTCGAGTAACCGCCTGGCGTACAATGTCACTTGACAGTCTCCTCAGCTTGTGTCCAATCCATCTCCATCTCCTCCTACCTACTTGTTAGGAAACGGTTTCCTGGTTGATTCGTTTCCAGAGTTTCTTACTGGATATTCTTTCTGAACGGCTATCTGATCTTCGAAATAAGTATAAAACTTGGGCACTGTGGTAGAGTATAACTCCATAATGGATAAGATTTTATTTTGATAAATCACACAGTGTTGCACAAACTATTGCTCATAATCATATGAAGTGATTTCTAAGTAAGGAAGGTCTTTGTTGTCTTTCTGATTCTGCTTTTGACATCCTCCTCCTTGAGGTTGGCTGTAGTTGGAACGATTCTGCCTAGATAAGTGAAGGAAGTGACCACTTTCAAATTCCTCCCGTAGACAGTGGTTGCTGCTTGATGTTGTCGGTTGGTTATCCTCATCACCTCCGTCTTCTCTATGGTTCACTTGATGTCCTGTCTTTGGTACCAGTGTTATTAGCCAGTTTGCTGGCTTTCTTAAGAAGATTCTAAAGTCATTAAGATACGAGGAATCAGTAGTATCAAGTCTTTCTATAGCATAGATTGTCATCAGTCACAAAGGTGGGCATATACTCATTTCTTTCGTTCATCTAATTTCTGAACACATTATTATTATCTTAATGGAGTTTATTTTCCGTTTTCTCCAATAGAATTCTATTAATCTGTTTGCTATATGCTGCTACAAAGTATTATCATTACTACTATTGAAACCGAAACTTGGTACATTATGGGCGCCAGGAGATACACCATGCAAAATCACATAGTTTTTCCGAGGACTGGGATTCTTCCCGGATGCCCAGACCGAAGTAGGTAGACATCGTAAGGGGGCATCTCGTGAGCCTTTGATGTGAAGTCTGACTCCCATGGTTCGCAGGAATCAAAACAGGTTCATTCACTACTAAGTCTTTTCAAATTCTGGAGCTCGTGTACTCTCCATAGTCTTGGATTCAGGGTTTTTCAACTCTCTCGGGTAGACCTGAATATCCACTTTTGTGTTTTTAAGCACCAGACGCTCTCAATCCTTCTCTCACTTTTGTGAAGAACACCCGCCATGCCACATGAAGGCTGGCTGGATTCAACATAGAACATGGCACCGAAGTGCAGCAGTTCCAGTTGCCACGTTCCAAATAGCACACAAAGGTAGACAAGAAAATGAGTGAAAAGAATCAATAGTTTTGACAAGTATAAGAGTGAAACAGAATGAGTAATGGTAGAAAGGAATATCAATAAAGATTACAGAGACTGAATACATCTACGTAAGCCATTGACAACGATTTTGAGCCATGTCACCTATTGTCTCCAGCCATTGATTCTTAGAGTCCCGAGGGCGGGCCCCAACCAGGAAGTCTGCATCTCCCTACCTGACGCAGTTTAACTGTCAAGGATTTCATGGATTGATGAGGCCATGTTTTTGTTTGGCCACCACCACTTACTCTTTTCCAACCTGCGCCTATATCAGCTAGTAATGCCCGTCCGTCGGAGGAGGCGATGGTTAGGCATGCGCAGCACGTGACCTAGCCATCTCAATCTATGTAACTTTATAGCCTCTTCGATTGATTTTCCCTCTTTGCCCAACACTCTACGCCTAACGTCAACATTACTTATCTTATTATACCACCTGACGCGAGAAAGAGATCGTAAACATCTGTGGTGAAAAGCAGACAATCTCTTCATGTCTTCTTCTTCATGCGTCAACTCATCGTTTCCTATTCGGCTTCCACTTGAGGATCATCAGAAAGACGCATAAAGTCACTCATCAGTCTCTTCGGCGTACATCGATTCCGTCTCCATTAGCTTCTGCTTATTTATTATGAAACTGACTGTTAATTGGTATCGTAATGTTTTCTTTTAAATTTTATTTTCCAATTTTAGATCCACACAATTGGCCACCTTTCCCACCATTTTGTCCATGTAAACCATGCGTAAGACAAGATTTTGACAATGATATCCCATATGATTGTCGATGGATGGCTAAAACAGGTTATGGGATATGGTTAGGCTATGCTGCCTTGTTGATACTGAATATGGGTGGAACACTTGGCTATTTTATTGTTGGTACTGGAGGTGCTGAAGGACCATTATTCGGTGCATCTATCTTGTTAACGCTTGTTATGCCTCCGTTGAGCTTTTTCGGTTGGCATCGGCCTTTGTATAAAGCATTAAGGTAAGTATTAGTATGATTATTATTTTGTATCTATTTAATATCACCCCAGCCCCCATTATATTGATTTATCTCCAGCCGATGACTGCCAGCTTAATGCGGTCGCCGGGTTCCCCTATCGCAAGAATCCAACGAGCGCTACTATGGTTGGGACTAGTGTTCCTGCAGGTCCTACTATGTCAGAAAGCCAGTTTCGATGGTGGTTACGGTAAAGGTAGTTACCATTGTATGTTAGGGGGGGTCTGTCTGTGGGCTCAATCGTACTGCTGGCGAGAATAGGGATGTAACAGCAGTTTGTAACTGGCGATAAGATTTTCAGGCAGCCCTGTTTTTCGGCTCTACAGTCGCACGACACTAATGCTCCTTCTGTCTCTCAGGAGTACCTCGGGAAAAAATCAAATCCCATTTTATGAGCAGTTATCCTTGTTATTTGATCTTCTTTAAACGCTATTTAAAGAAATACTGGGTTTGTAGATTGGAGGAAGGCTTGCGTCTGGTCCTCGTTTTTGTAATCATTCAGTCAGGAAAGATCACTTGAATTCTTAGAGAAATTCGTTTTCTCTTCCCGATTCAAAATCACTTTAACCGTGTTCAGAATTTTAAAAAAACTTAATTGCTAATTTATTGAATCCACTTATAGAATGCCATTGATTATGTGTACATTGATCGATTACCGAATGACAGGCATAGTAGTTTGATCTCAGATTTGATCATGGATTGATATGAGTTAGATAGAGAACCAGTGGAAACAAGCACTGGAATACTGGACAGCTGTTTCGCCTCTTAGTGCAGGGCTCATCAGTCGAACCAACAACCTTCCGGTTACAAGGCGAACTTGTAAACCATTCAGCCACTGTGTGAGACCCCAACTCAATGACCAACCCATGAATTCTAACTTCTACCAATTCATGATTTTAGCGTGACGACTAGCGCCAGCCAATATCAACGCTGGTGAGTATATATCCTTACTCCCGACCTAGTATTTACGACTTCTCACTAGAACTCCAGCCAACTAACTTTGTCCTGCAAGCCAGTCATAAGCGAAAATGAGATTAATTTTCAAGAATTATAGAACATTGAATCTGGTCCCGGTGGCTGCTAAGAGGTCTACGGGCTTGACCTGTAACCAGAAGGTCCTGTGTGTTCAAACCTCTGAGGTGTGTGACCTGGCAAGGAGTCCAAAACTAGGCGGAAGAAACAGCTGTCCAGTGGTGGGGTATTTTGTGACTAAGATCAATCCGTAGTCACACTTCAAAAAAAATCAATTCCCTATACACGCTAACTTCTGAAAATTAAGCATAATAAGTTTATATGTATTATATAAATATGTAACAAGTAATTTCTACACCTATTCTCATTGATCGTGATATAAATTTCATGATCTGTGCCCCTCCCCCCATTGATTGATTGATTGACTGTCTGTTTGTTTGTGTGTTTGTTCCCTAGTGATCTGGTTTTTTTTATTAGATTAACCTCAGTAGTGCTGTTCTCTTATACAAAGTACAATGTAGAAGACACGCATTTTTCTGTACTCTAATTAAAGCGCGCATATAAAACAGAATATACCTAATTGATTTAAATAATAATCACCAGTGTTATATCCACCCTAACTCCCCTTTCTTTTTCCTACTTTTTTTCTCTCTTTCTAATCAACTTCAATAGGTCAGACAGTTCAATTAATTATATGATATTTTTCATCTTCTTCTCTGCGCAAACAATTGTCATTTTAATCCAATGTCTTGGTATTGACTATCTTGGATCATGGTGAGTTTTTTGTTTTAATTTGTTTCGGTGTTTGTTGTTATTGACTCATGTTGACTCATGCGACCTACAATTTTACTATTTGGTTACAGGATTTCATCATGAGCTGACATTGGTTAGAGGGCCATTGGAAAACCACCTGGGAGTACTGGACATCTGTTTCGTTAGCCTAGTATGGGACTCTTCATCAGTACGCACTCACTGGGATTCGAACCCAGAACCTTCTGGTTACAAGGCTGAAGAGTCCCAAACTAGGACGAAACAGTTGGCTGTCCAGTACTCCCAGGTGGTTTTCCAATGGTTCTCTAACCAATGTCAGCTCATGATGAAATCCTGTAACCAATCAACCAAATCCCTACAAACCAATATTTGAATTTTACTATTATTATTATTATTATTATTGTTGTTATTGTTCCTTTGGGTTCTGTGAGTGGAGCATAGAGTTTCTCAGCATCGCCTCTCCACTTCATATATGTGTAAAACTTGGGCACTGTGGTAGTAAGTAATTCCATATTAGTTTGTTTATTAGATGTATCACACAGTCAGTGAAACAGTATTATTTACTGGATGACGTGATAATAATAATAATGACATGCATGTCAAATATGCGCAAGACAACACCAAAAATAAGGAATCTAAATCATCAGTAGTAATTCCATACAAAGAAGGAACCTCGGAAACCACCTTACGCAGAATTCTTAACAAGGCAGGAATAAAAGTGGCTGGCATTCAAACCAACCACAAACTCAATTAGAAACAAGTTTGTCGGTTAAGGGATCAATCCTGTGGAGCCTTTAAAACAAAACAATTTAGTTTATTTAATACCCTGCCTGCAATGATTGTCAGGTCAAATACATAGGTCAAACTAGTAGAACAGGGGCAGTCAGACTAGCTGAACATAAAAACCTAGCAAAATCTAGATTGGTTGACCCGAATAAGATAAGAAATCTAGAGAATAGTTCAGCTATACCACTCACTACATGCAGTCACACACAAACATACAATAGAATGGGATAGGTTCGCAGTTTTAAAATCTAATGTAACAGCAGAGTGGAGGGAGAGATTGATAACAGAAGCTTTGTTTATCGAATCAACTGCAAATACATGTAACAGGAATGATTCAACACCTGTCCCAGATATCTGGAAAATTCTACTACCCCTACGACGACAAATAGGAGAGAACAAAGAAAACTATAAAACTGAAGTTTCGAAGTCGTGTGATTATAATTGATGGAATGATTATGAACGTCATCCAGTAAATAATACTATTTCAGTGTCTTTGTGATATATCTAATATAAATAATAATAATATGGAATCGCCTCTCCACCTTGTTTAGTTCTATACGACCTTCTTTAGCTCACCACATGATTGCCCATAGTGTCTAATCTCATATTCCACTCGTATCCACTCTGTTTCTCTCTGGGATCAAAGCCCAACTCCTTGTTTCTCATCTGGGATCATTCAATCGAACGATGGTCTGGTGCGTGATGTCAGCCCCACTGCGGTTTCCATACCGCCTGTCCGATCCATCTCCATTTTCTTAAAAAAGTACTTGTTGTACAATGGGTTCTTGGTTAGTTCGTTCCCAGAGTTTTTTTTCTCACTGGCCATCTGAGCTTCACTATGAAGCCAGTGAAGAAGGCAGCTGTTGTCAAACGTTCGCAGTAGCCTGTTGGGAACTATTTACGTGACTCAAACGCCATATATATATATATATATATATATATATGTATATATATATATGTATATATATATATATATAAGATGTTTGTTCGCCTTTATGAATTTTAATAAAGCAAGAACGATATTGATTTGTGCAGAATAACACGGTACCTTGCATTGTTTATTCCATTGGCTCCTCATCAGCTGCGTGTACAGTCTTAAGAAATCAATATTAAGTCTATGTACAGAACAACTTGTTGACATAGTTGCAAATGTTACATGATGTCAATTAATGACTCCAAACTTAATGAACAGTGCTCAGAAAATTACATTTGGTAACAATAAATACTGAGTTCAACTAAAATTGAGGAAACATGCGACAGGAAAAATTATAATATATCAAAGTGGGGGGGTTAGGTTATGAAAATAACCAACCAACCAACAGCAACATCCAGCGCCAATCACCATCAAAGGGAGGGATTTGAAAGAGGTTACTTCATTCACTTGTCTAGGGAGCATTGTCTCAACTACAGGAGGAACAGACGAGGATGTCAAATCAAGAATCGGGAAGGCGAGAAACACATTCATCAACCTGAAACCAATCTGGGAATCTTCGTCACTCACCATCAACAACAAAATTCGGATTTTCAATACAAACGTCAAGTCAGTTCTTCTATACGGATCATAAACTTGGCGGGTCACCAAGAATATTTCCAACAGCCTGTTGCAGACCTTTATCAACAACTGTCTCCGTTCTATGCTGAAGATCAGATGGACGGAAAGAATCACCAACAAGAAACTATGGGAACAAACAAAACAAGAACCAATCTCCCAACAAATATGCAGGAGAAAGGCGAGATGGATTGGACACTCACTGAGGAGGCCTCTGGGTGACATCGCGCGTCAGGCCCTCGAATGGAACCTGAGAGGGAAGCGGCGAGTGGGACGTCCAAGGGTGACATGGAGGAGATCGTGTGAAGAGGAGCTGAAACAGTATGGATTAACATGAATGCAAGTGAAAAGTACAGGAGAAGACAGAAGCAAGTGGAGACGTGTAGTTGAAGCCCTATGTTCCACTAGGAACCCAAGGGAACAATAATACTAATATAGTAAAGTGGGGGGTTGCTTAGGCTAAAGCCGAAGATTACGTAACCAAACGGTGGAGAAAATAAAGATGCCGAGTAAACAGGGCAAACAAAGACTGATAACTGCTTTCTTCTGTACACATGAATCAGGTTTCAAGCGTTTGGTAGCGATTGTTCCAGTAAAACTGAAAATGATAAAAATATTTTGTCTATTGATAATTTTTAAGGGATTTCGTGATGTCCACCACATGACGTGTATTGATGAGATGTCTGGAAACGGCGCTGCTGTAAGCGATTATTCACTTGAGACGTAGGCTTTTTGGTACATGTTCAGCATATCAGAGGTGTGCCCTTCTTTTTTCTGTTCTCCCCATTTAACAACTGCTCCTGCAGATACACGTAGATTTTTATACACAGTTAGAGTTAATATGAGGAGGATATCTGTTGACTTTTGATTGCATCAAAGGGCATGTTGTCCGATAAATGGGACTTGGCTTAGCTTGTAGGAGAGATGGGTTCTGCTGACTATTCTTGCAATGTTACCACCTTTAAAACAAGTTGAATGAAGACAGGCTTTTTCGCCACTTTGATTTGTTTGATATTTGAGCCTTTACATCTGTACTTGTTAATGAACCTCTGAAGGTAATCGTTGTTTTCAACATCTTTTCAAATAGAATCAGAAATTCTTCCTCTGATTTCTAAATAGAGCATAGTGTCCTAGCTGTATAGTACTGTATAGGCTTGACTAGAGATCGTTTAAAGCCTTTTGAACAAAAACAATTAAAATGTTGGTATTGTCCATTCCATGCAGACCTTCGGTAAATTGACCTCTGGAGACTACCATCTTCTAGGCGTGGCATAGCAATGTCAAGTAATTGGAACTTTCCATCAGTTTTCTGTTGCATAGTAAATTCAATATTTGTGTGTGCGTTGTTGAATAATCTGAGTAGGTAGGAAGCATGACTTTCATTGCTGCACACTGCAAATGTATCATCAACATATCGAAAATAAGTTGTTTTGCTGACTGCATGCTTCAGGTTTGTTTTCTCAAGGTAGGACATGAAGATATCTGATTAAACAGAGCTAAGTGGACTGCCCATTGCTACACCTTCTGTATGGCTGTAAAGATTATTGTTAAACTGGAAATGCACATCGATGGTACACATTAGCAGTAAGCGTTTAGAATCCGGCACTGAGAGCGGGAGAAGATCAGACTGCTGACAAATGATCTCAATAATTTCATTGATTGAAATCCTTGTGAACAAGGAAGTTACATCAAATGATATCATTAACTTATTTGGGACGTTCATATCTGGTTCACACTTTTTTTGTTTTATCTGTGTCTTTGGAAGATTGTACATAAGCGGCAAACGAGATCCTCGGCATCTTAAATTATTGTAAACATTGTTGTTGTCAGTCAATATTTCTTCTTCAGAGGATCTCTCAACACGTTTGTGATGCGTTTTTCAGTTGTATCTGTCTTAACTTTCCCGCAATCGTTAACTTTAGACTTCGACAGGTCATTTAACATAGTTTTCATCTTTATAATGCAGTCATCTTTGTTCATCGGCACCACCCCTTAGCCTTTGTCAAGTCACAATATGAAGAGTTTATCGTTATTTTTGAAAGCTTTCAATTCTCTTTGATGCTCCTTAGAAAGGATTTTGGAATATGACATTGGTGAAGTGAGATATTGATTTGCGACGTCGAATAGATTTTTCCTTATTTTTACTCTAAGCTGGAAACTAATGCTATTTAAATCGAAGAAATTCAAAAATTCCAGTTTTCGATTATAATCACTTTGTGTGTTTGTAAAAGCAAGTTGGGGAGAGGGGTCATTTCTGGGTGTATACTAACTATTGTTGTTTTGTTGTTTATTTCCTCCTTTTTTTGCTCAAGTGGTTGGATCAATGGGATAAAAACTTTGAATCATCATGATGGTGTTGGTGTTTTTATGCTTTTGATCGCTACAATGTTCTCGGTTCTTGCTGGATGCTGTGCCTTCTTATTGTACAAGGTAAGAAAAATAAAAAGAGGATTATTTATTGTTCTACATACATACATACCAAAAGCGAAATAAAAATAATTGTGAAACTAGTAATGATAATATAAATAGGAGAGAATATAAGTCATCTACTGTTATACTATAACGACAGAAGGCAAGAGTCAGGCAACAGATCATTTATTAAGGAAATCAACGCATATTTATATATTTGCATGTACATTACTATGGTTATTTAAGCAAACAAACACAGTCTTCCGATTGGTTGTTTCTCACTTAAAGTTAATCTTTCATCTATTTGTGACTGTTTCTTGAATGTCAAATCCTCTATATGTTAACTGCATCCGCCTACGCAAAGTCTGCTGTGGTCGGTTTTGAATCAATCTTTGTTCACATTTTCTCACGACAAATCTTGGGAACGTAAATATTGACGTAAATTACTGTCTACCAATTTGGCTAGTAGACAGCTCTCACCACAATCCCTTATAAGGAGGGGAACATCTGAACCCCTCCCTACGTAGTATTCCGACTAAAGCAGGAATTAGAGTGGCATTCAAACCTACAAACTCACTCAGCGAGGACAAGCTCTGCAGGTTAAAGGACCCGGTTGACCCAGTTAGACAGAATAATAAATTTACGAAATACCTTGCAATGACTGTGAGTGAGGTCATCTACATAGGTCAAACTAGTAGATCGAGCGGGAGTAGTCAGATTGTCAGAACACAAGAATTTAGCTAAGGTTAGAATGATTGACCCCGAGAAGATAAGTAATTTAGAAAAAAGCTCAGCACTACATTGCACTGCATGCATTAACACACAACCTCACAATAGGGTGGGAGAGGGTTAAAATTTTAAATAGTATTGTAGGTAGGTGGGGAGAAAGGTTGGAAAATACTACTACCAATCAAATCAAGCGATGGGAAATAATGGAATTATGTAAACGAAGTTAGAAAGTTGTGTGTTAGTACTGTCTTAATATGATTATGAGCAGTAATAAATTGTGCTTGAAACGTCATCAGTAACCATTACTGTATAACACGCTGTGAGACTTTATCAAAACAAATTTTACCCATAATATTCTACATACTTATTTTCCTCAACTGGATTATTTTTAGCTTAGTTGTCCGCAGTTAGTTCTAGTGAGAAGTTATGACCAGTTGGGTTAACCAGATTGGGTGTAAGGACCACATACTTGCCGATAATAATGGCTAATAGCTTCAATAAAATCCTCGGTGGCAGGATGGTCAGCGAGGTCACCTCGTAACCTGAAGGTCGTGGGGTTCGATCTCCCAGTAACTAGGACAGAACAGTTGTCAAGTATTTCCTGGTAGTTTTCAATGGTTCTCTCTCTAACTGATATCAATCCATGATCAAACCTCGAATCCCTACAAGCTAACTCTTAAAAATTAGTTTATCTTTGTTTCACCGACTACTTATTTCACCTATCAGTAGTATATATAATGCAGTGCATTTTATCACCGTTTTTTGATCTTGTTCATTATACGATCAAGTAGAGCACATATCATGCACTGATAATTTTTTCATTTCCAATAAGAAATCGCTGTTGCATATTATTTAATTCAATTTGAACTCTCTCATTGATTGATCGGATCGAAGTGCTCTAGCTATCTAAACTTTGGTTGAGTATGACTCAATCAACACTAACAAAGCTCATCTTGTTGTTGTTGTTATTTTTTTTCTAAATTTTTGTGTCACTAGGTGCATAGATATTATCGATCATCAGGTGCAAGTTTACAAAAAGCTAAATTAGAAATGACCAACGCAGCAATGTATGAACATGCTGCTGCAGGATTCGGTGCAATGCCATAAAAATTCTGATCATGACGAACAGAGGAAGAAGAAAAAGAAGCAGAAGAAACCGGGTCAAATTTCACTTATCACTACTATTACTACCCTTGCCCCCAATCCACCTAAAAAACAAACATTTTAATAATACGTGATATATACTACTTATATATTCGTATATAAGTAGTATATATGCAAAGTATCCAGTGACATATCATTCAGCTAACCTTCCCCAGCCACCCCCTTTTTTTCGTATGACATACCATATACACTGTTCTCTTATTTATTAGCTGACAAAAAGAGAAGCAATTTATATATACTATGGCTGTGAAATGTATTCAACCTCTGTTTTGTTTTGTTATTTTCTCTATTCATTGTGATAACCAGTATCGTTTTTTTCTCATTTATGACGTGTTTTTGATACTGCACAAGTTGATTCTTCGTCAAGATGGCGTGTTTGTTTGTTTGTCTGTGTGTGTGTGACAGGAACTGCTCCAAAAAAACACAAAAGCTCATCATTCCATATATTTCCCACTTTTATTTTTATTTTTTCCTGAAAACACATAAATACTGCCTTCTATGCGCGCTAACTTTTTGTTTTCTACAGTAAATTATGACGTCAACAACATCATCTCATCATCAACATTCCAATATGACACTGAGAATTTCTCTGTTTTAATGTTATGTAACTTTGTTTGTTCTTATTTTATTTATAATTTAAAAAAGAAACAAGTTGAGTTTTTCTTTCCCCCCCTCTCTCTCTCTCTACGTGTGTGTTTGGGGGAGGGTTGCGTGTTGTTTTACTTGTGTGTTACCCTTTTGAAAGAAAAGTACTCATTTAGGTTGTATCATAGGCAGTTACATCGGTGGTATAGCGGTTATTAGGACGCTCGCCGACCATGCACATGGTCCGGGGTTCGATTCCCGGCCACAGACGCACTCCTTTACCTCGTTGAGCCAGAAATAATGCTGGTAAAGAGGAAAGGTTGGGGGGCATGAGGATAGCAATCCCATCCTGTAAAAATAATCACCACTGCTACAGAAACTTCGAGCCACTAGCTTGAAGCCCTATGTTCCACTGGGGAACGTGTAGGAAATAAAAAAAATAGGCAGTTGAAAGTAACAATGAGGTTTCTAAAGAAAATTAACGATTATGACCACGGAATCCACTGGCTGATGGTATGTAATCGGGTATCACAATTACAGGGAGTACTATTGTAACAACAGAACACAAGGGCCAGGCAACAGATCGTTTATTAAGGAAATCAACACACATATTTATAGATTTCAGTGTACATTATTGTAGATTATTGTTAGCAGACAAACACAGTCTTCTGATTAATTAACAGAAGACAAGTAGTTCAGCGAAGAGTCTCTTTTCGACGGCGAATTCATTTTCATAGCTGTACAATCGCAAATATTGTATATGGTTGTTTTGTATGTGTGTGTGTACATTAAATTGGTCAAACGAAAATACAATTAGTGAGTTCAGAGGAATTGGATGTTGATACAAGTGGGTAGTAACAAAAGTGATGAGTTGTCACAAACGATTGTTAAAGAAGAGTTACGTAATAACATGAATAGTTTAATGAAAGAGTTGTACTCAGGGTGTACATGGAAACAAAATAACATACGGAATTACAGAAGGATTTTAAGTAGTTAGAAAAATAAGCATGCAAACAAAAGTTAAGTCAAATCGACAGAGTTGTTACCATTGGAGTAGAAGTGGTTGAATAATTTTCTTTTGTACGCACAGTTCTGGATCCTCTAGCTAAATGGCTAGGGCTTCTGCGATGCAAAGAAGATGGAATCGTACTGTCTTTGGAAGGTTGTTCTTCACTTTGTAGATTACTTTGAAGGAGGCGTTTGTTGAGATGGAATGATAAGTGTTGACGAGGTGTTCTATTATTGCACTCCTTATGCAGCCATTACTTCCTTTCTGCAGCCACACTGGATAGTGTTCTTTGACCCTTTTTGACAGGATACGCGTTGAACGACCGATGTACCTGGCTCCAAAGCAACAGGTGAACTGATATATACACATAGAAGTGGTCAGGTGTGGGATCTTGTCCTATGGGCTTCTGCAGATCAGCGGGCGACTGGAGAACACTATTCTCAATGTTGCCGTAAAGAAAGTTCTTCTTGAAGAGGTGGAGATTCTCCTTCTAAGGACGTCACTGAGTAGGTCTCGTTTGAAGTCGAGGTTCATATAAAGTATCTTTTTGGCACGGATGCTGTTTCTTGCTTTTGGATTTTTTGTTTGATGTCTTCGTCTACGAATCTTGATGGGTAACCGTTTTGTATGAAGGTTTCTTTCAGGAAGTTTAGTTCTTCTTCCATGCTATCAGAAATGCAGATGCGTCGGACTGATTGATTGTTTCTCAATGAAAGTTAGTCTTCCATCTCTTTGTGGCTGTTTCTTGAATGTCAGATCATCTATCTGCTAATTGTATCCGCCTACGTAAAACCTTTGTTCTCATTTTTCTCACGACCGATATTTGGTGACATAAACATTGACGTAAATTACTATCCACCAATTTTGGCTAACATCCAGCTCTCAGCACACTATTATTAGTATTCCCTTGGGTTCCAAGTGGAACATAGGGGTTCAACAGCATCACATTTTCTCTCTGTTCTATTTTCTGCTGTACCATTTAGCTGGGCTCACAATTTCTCATAATCTCTCTCATCTCCTCCATGTCGCCATCTCACCGGCGACCCACTCCTCATTTCCTATTGGGATTCCACTCGAGCGGTAGCCTGCATTGAGCGCGATGTGTCATTCGACGGTCTCCTCAGCGTATGCCCGATCCCTCTCCATTTTCTCCGACATATTTATTGAACGATAGGTTTGTGGTTAGTTTGTCCCCGGAGTTTCTTGTTGCTAATTCTTTCTGGCTGGCTGGCCATTTGATCTTCAGCATGTGGAACCAGCGAGGGAGGCAGCTGTTGATAAAAGTCTATAACTTGTTGGAAATCCTTTTTGTGACACACTAGCCAAGGTTCTGACCCGTATGGATGAACTGACTGACGTCACATTTGTGTTGAATAGAATCCGAATCTTGTTGTTTATGCTGAGTCGGAGTGCAGAAGATTTTGCAAACTGATGCAGGTGTCTCTTGCCTTTCCGATTCTGACTGGCTTTGACATTTTCATCCGTTCCTTCCTAGATAAGTGAAGGAGGTAACCTCTGTCAAATGTCTCCCGTTGATGGTGATCGGTGTTGGCTGTTGTTGCTGTTAGTTGATTATCTTCATCTTCTCTATATCCAGCGGAAGTCCTGTCTTCGCCGCCACTTCAGCCAGTTTCTTTTTTGGTTTTTGCCTGCAAGTTTTCGAGTTTGTGTGACACTAAACATAAACCATCACCGGCAAAGTCTAGATCTTCTTACCGGCGGTCCAGCGTATTCCTGTCGCCTCGCTCCCTACAGTCTGACTCATAATCCAGTCCAGCACAATTAAGAATATCATCATGGGTGATAATAGGCAGTCAGTCATATCTTACTCCTGTATGCACTTCGAACGCCTCGCTGAGTTTTTCTGTTGTGCATCACCTGAAACGTGGCATTGCCCCATATGACCAGCTTTTGAATGAGGTTGATAAAGCTTTTGGCACTACATGCGGTAGTGTTTAAATAGTTTCCAAATTACTTCTCGGTCAATGCTGTCTGTCGAAGGCCTTTTCGAAGTTGATGAAGTTAAGGTAGAGAGACGTTTTACCTTGTGTCCAGCAGGCTGCGTCTCCGTAAGCAGTATTGCACATTACTTAATTATTACACATCGACATATTCTGATTACTGTGATTATTGACCGTATAAAATTATCAGTTTAATCTAAAGATACCGATTCAAAATTTGTATTGACAATAAGATAGTCAGTCTCATTTCTATTTTGCTGTATTCTGTCTGTTTTCGACATAGAACTTTGCACATATGTGCGGCAGTTCGAGTCGCCCGCCACACTCCGTATAGCACACAAAGCAAGAGATAAAAGTAGGAGAAATGCATAATAGAGACAGTAAACAGAGGTGTGAGACAAAGGAATAGTAATAACGAAGAAAAAAACAGTTTAATTGGAGATTATAAGTCACAAGGAGTGGATGCATCTGCGCCTTCCACTCAGAACCATTTTGAGCCATATCCCCAATTGTTTCCAACCATTGGTATTTACCGTCCCGAGGACCCCAACCAGTCAGGAAGTCTACACCTCCCAACGTGGCTGTCTGGTTTAATCTAACTGTTATGGATTTCATTGACTGATGCCACCATGTTTTCGTTTGACCACCACTGGCTCTTTTCCAACCTGATTAATCCTATATCAGTTAACACTGGCCGTCGAGGAAGGCGATGACTGGGCATACGTAACACATGTCCTAACCATCTCAGTCGATGTAATTTCACAGCCTCGTCGATTGACTTCCCCTCCTGTAGGTTTATAGAGTGTGTGCTAACCTACTTCACAGCAGACTTTATGCTTTTACAGAACAATTAGGCGTTCCTCATGTAATTCGAAGAAATACCTCCTCTGAGACAGTCAATATGACTATAATTTTAATAAAACGAGAACGACAAATGTACCAGGATAATCTGAGCTCATGTTTTCACTTTTATTATTTCGTGGATTCTTCTGAACTGCTTACAACCTGAACAATACCAAAATTGTATGAAATTAATAAATAGTTAAGAGGTGAGAAAATAGACTACTTAGGTCAAGTTGAAAGGACGTATTGAAGGTCGAAATAACAATGAAGATCACTAAAATAAAGCTCCTAACAATTACTCAGTTAAATAAAACAAACAAAAGTACATACTAATAACCAATCATATTTAAAAGGTCATGTAGTCCACATTAGGCGAAGATTGAAGTCTATTGTTTTTTGTACACACAGTTTAGGCGGTATGTGATTAATCCAAGGTGCTTTCATCACCTTCATTAACATTGAACTAGAGCTATGTGAAATAATTGTGAAACAGTCATTAATATTGATTTTGTGACCTGACATTAATAAGAGCTTTGCAATGGATGATGATGGATTTCTATTCAGATTACTGGCATTGGGATTTTCTATATGATTTAGTAACCATTTTGGAACATGTTCTTTCCGACGACATTGGAACATTCTGTTGGTTCTACCTATACAGGTGTCACCGCAGCTGCAGGTGAACTTGTGTATACAGTTTGAAATAGAGTCCACAGAATTTCGCCCTTTAATCGTAGGTACAGGGATCAAAAATGTTCGGCAAGTGAGAAAAAGAGATGCAGCGTAGAATGTGAGAAATTTGTCTTCTAAATGACTTATTCAAATTTATCAAAGGGACTAATTGTTTTAATGAAGATCACTAAGCCAAATAAGAGAGGTAATAGTACATCCTATTCTGGTTGGTATCAAAACAAAGTTTACCAAAGATGGTTTAGTATGATTGGAGAATTGTTTTTGATGAACGCATAAAGGTGGTTTCAGCTCCCAGATTGCCGGCTAAGGCTTCTACAAACTTTAGGATACGCTCCAAACACGTTCTATAGATACATTTTAAAGGTGTGTAAACATCAATTGTATGTCCTGTCTCCTCTATAATATGTTTCGCAATAGAAGTGCTAGATCACCTGTTCTCATCATTAATGGGTTCCGGAGATTTCATTTGCTTGTGAAGCCCTTACTTGCAGAGGTAGATGAATCTTCCCTATGTATATTTGGCCAGACGTATATTCACTAAGTCAAATAAGGTAGGTAATGTAAAGAAGAAGAGAC